ACAACGCCATATCATCCACAAACGAACAGGTTGCTCTTCAACGCATCATTCACAGAGATCTTCCATGTTGTGCTGCTTCTGGCCCTCCTTCCTATTGTGTTGTGTGTTTCCCTCACCTCTATCATGCATTTCTGCAACGCTTTATCATTTGCTTTCTCTGACATCAAATGTATCTCCCTGCTAGTTGATGTTTGTATGACGGCCGATAAACATCGTTTTATATTTATACTACTTATAAATTAAATCAGTAGCACATTCTATACTACTAAAGAGATTATCACTACTAATATTAGTAGTAAAATATTACTACTGAAATCAAAAATTTCCACTAATAATATTAATGCTGCTACAATTATAAAACTGCCACGTCCATATCACAGTATTATATATAGGCTCCTTTAAGAAGGTATTTATTTCTGTAAATGCTGCTATTATTACAACAACTATGTGATCAGTAATTAGTAGTATAGGAGTACAATGCCACTATCACGGTAACCTCCAAAACTACTAGTACTAATTAATACTAGTGCTGCTACAGCCATACTAATACGACCTCTTGAAAACTATTGTCACTCGTGATACTGACACAATATATTGATTAATACTTCTATTATTAATCACGAATTATATCAGGAGAATGATAATACTACTAATACGACGACGACAACTAGAAAACTACTGGTGTCTAATATTAGTACTGGTGTAATACTATCACTACTTGTAATAATGGTGTTGTTATTATTATTACTCCTAATACTAATACAATTCTTCAGGTAACACTACCATACGTAGTGCTATAATAACATCGCTACTTATATTGATAATAAAAGACCCCTACTACTACTTTTGCGTCGGTGGTACAGCGGTTAGGACGCTCGCCGACCATGCACATCGTCCGGGGTTCGATCCCCTGCCACAGACGCACTCCTTTACCTCGCTAAGCCAGAAAAATACTGGTAAAGAGGAAAGGTTGGGCATGAGGTTAGCAACCCCATCCTGTCAAATAAAACACTGATACAGAAACTTCAAGCCACTAGCTTGAAGCCCTATGTTCCACCGGGAACGTGAAGGAAAAAAACTACTGCTACTACGAGAAATTATTGGAAGTATCAAAATGCAGGTGTCAGAAGTTTTTGGATTATTTGTCCAATCCAATCCTGTGGAGCCAGTTACATAGGCCGTACAATTAGGCGTGTTAATCATAGCATTTACTGAACATCATCATGCGTGGTTAAATAAAAGACAAACCAAATACATTTATAGTGGTATTCTCTCTCATCTTGTGGATGTAGAACACACGATTGATGTTAACGAGGTGACTTTCAAAGCCATCTACCGTATTAGTGATGTAAGTATACAACTTGGCCACTGTGGCAGAGTATAACTCCATTATGGATAAGATTTTATTTTGATAAGTCACACAGTGTTACACAGTAATATTAACTGATGACGTTTCGAGCACAATCTTTTGCCACTCATAATCATATCAAGTCACTCAATCACACAACATTTTTCCTTCATTTATATACATGTGTGGAATTCCCCAGATATTTGAATAAAATGTTAGAATGTTGTGATGTGCTTGAAATGAAATAGAATTTTAAGATTATTTATTATCCTCTTCTGATTTGACTTGAGGTAATAATATCTTCCATATTTCTGGTATTTGCATTGAGTCATTTCTGTTGGATGTGTTGGGTGTAGACTCAATAAACCAGGCAGGATTCAGCAATCAGTCTCTCCACCTTCAATGCAAATACCAGAGATATGGAAAATGTTATTACCGCCAGTCAAATCATAAGACGATAATAAATAATCTCAAAATTCTATTTCATTTCAAGCACATCATAACATTCTAACAATTCACTTATGATGACTATAAAACCACTCGTCTTATTTCCCATATGATTGTATTTAATCAATAACACTCATATTATTATTTCTGAATGTACATTATCCCACTCATGTATACAAATGAAGTAAAAAGTTGTGTCAGTGAGTGACTTGATATGATTATGAGTGGTAATAGTTTGTGCTCGAAACGTGGTCGTATCAGTTGATATTATTGTATAACACTACACTGTTTGATTTATCGAAATAAAATCTTATCTATGATGCAGCTATCTACCGTATTTCGATCATTAATCTTAAGTTTGCCTTAAGAGTTCGTCGACTACATATTGCTGAGGCTGGCTGTTGCGATCTCTACATTAAGAAACTTAACTTATGTATCTAAGGGAGGAAGTTGGTTCAGACACTGTCCTTTTCTTGGCCATCAAGATTCTAATGATCCTCAAATTTGTTGTGGAAATTTCTTTAATTTTATTTGATATTCTATTTGCTATTACATTTTGATGCTGATTATAACTTAGGCGTCTTTCTTGAACTGTAATTCCATTGTGATCTTACTTAACAAATCGGTAATATTAAAAAACATGAACATTGTTAATGACGACTATTCAAGGATGCTCTATGTATATGTCATTGTAGAGCCGGAGGAGGAAATTTTCGAAAAGGATATTATTTTCTCAATTTCTTCTTGGTTTTTCCAATTCTCTTTTGACCATAAGGCGTGTAAAATGCATTTAATACTTTATATTATGTGAGTCTTACTATTATTTATTGTTATTTATCCTTTAATCCCTAGAGGAACGTAGGGCTTCAGCCGCGCGTCTTCGTTGCGACTTGATCAATACATGACTTGTTTCTCCTGAATCCAGCCTGTTCCGGTCGAAGTTTTGCATCCAGGGCTTGTTTAATTCTCTCCAGGATGATGCGGCTTAGTATTTTGCTTGGAATGGACAGGAGCATAGTTCCGCGCCAGTTTTTACATTGACTTAAGTCTCCTTTCTTTGGTAGTTTGAATATGTATCCTTTCTTCCAATCCTCGGGTACTTTGCTCTCTTTTCACACTTTCTCCAGTGATGGCGTCATCAAGTCCGCTGTTGTCTCTGGGTCTATTTTCAATGCTTCTACTGGGATTTCATCTGGTCCTGCTGCTTTTCCAGCTTTTAGCATCTTGATGGCATTCAGGACTTCTGATTTCGTCGGGGGGCTGATGTTCACTGGTAGTTCTGCTACCGTTGTCGGTATTGTTAGGCGCGTTGTAGGTGGCAGTCGATTTAGAAGTCTTTTGAAGTCTTCAGCCCAGTGTTTTCTTTGTTCCACCTCTTTGGTGACTGACTTTCCATTGTCATCCTTTAATGGCTTAATCTGTGTCGAACGTTTTCCCGATAGGTGCCTAGTTGTTTGGTAGAGTGTGGCGAGGTCTCATTTGCCTGCAGCTTGTTCTGCTTCACTTTCCATGACTTCATAATATTTTCTTTTGTCTTCCCTGGCACTCTTCTTTACTCTTCTGTTCAGTGTATTCTAGCTTGCATTCAACTCCTGTTTTTGTTGCTCGTCAGTGCACTGGATAATCTTTTGTTTCACTATTCTTCTCTCTTCTATTAGTTTCCAAGTGTCCGTAGTGAGCCATTGTTTGTCCTGTCTCTTCTTTCTGCCTAGAGCTTCCATGCAGGTTTGGCTCCATACTGTTTTCAGGTTGTCCCAGTGCTTTTCGACGCCGACCTCTTCGCTAGTGTTGATTTGTGTCTCGGCTTTGTCCTTTGTGCTTGCAATGAAGATGTCCTTTGTAACCTGGTCCTTCAGTTTTTGAGTGTTGAACTTGGCTTGTGGTCTATCTGCAGCTCCTGTTTCCGTGAAAGCTTTTAATTTGATTTGGATTGTCCCTTGTACGAGATAGTGGTCTGAGCCAACGTGTGCTCCTCTTCTTCCTTTTGTGTCCAGTAGGCTGCGCCTCCACTTCCTTGAGCAGCATTGAGATGAAGTCAATTTGGTTTTTGGTTTGCCCATCTGGTGACACCCATGTAGCCTTGTGGATATCTTTGTGTTTGTATACGCTGCCACCAGTCACTAGTTCGTTTAAGGCGAAGAAGTCGGCGAAGAGTTCTCCATTTTCATTCATTTCTCCGAGAGCTTCTTTACCCATGATGAGTTCCCTTCCTGTGTTGTCTGGTCCCAGTTTGGCGTTCATGTCTCCCATTAGTATTTCAATGTCACCAGCTGGAGTATTGTCCATTGCTGCCTGTAGTTGTCTGTAGAATTCTCACTCTTATTACTTTAAGCATAATTTGTATACTGAGACAAATGTAACGAATGACTCGTTAGGCATAAATTTCTCTTACTTACACAAGGCAATGGAGACACATTTTCAACAACAATTCCTTCGATCTAGAGAAAGATATTTAGTCAGCGGATCCGGAAAATTTACACTGGAGAGTCAGTCGACAAAAACTGCGAAACCTCCGAGGGATTCCCCGAGACTCATAGACAAGAATCTAAAACCAGAGAAAACACCGGAAATAGTTCAAGTCGCCCCCAAAAGATGCTGATACTGAACCTTGGATTTAAAAGTGATACCGAATCAGAACTTCTCCATAGACGGCTTTCGAAGTCTCTCTGTAAAGCATACTTCACCGCCAGCTTACGAGTAACATTCTCCTGCAATAAACTACTCAACCAGCAGGTGAAAGACAAGCTGTCGCAGTAGGCCGCCACTTCAACATCCATATCCCAGTTCATTTGATCGTGTGAACTCGAGTGCATTGATCGTACCATGCGTCCACTTGCAAAACGCGTTTAGGAACACTATCCTGCATGACTACCAAAGAGAGGAGATAAAGGGGTATACAGTTCGATAACACAACATCTGGTGAATTCTGGACATCCAGCTCCATTTGAAAAGTCCTTCAAAGTCCCATAGACAAGATCCGGTCAAACCTAACAAAGGGAATGAAATCAAGACATCTAGAAATAGCTAAGACACTGGCGATTCAAAAACTCAAGCCTACTTTATGTGTTCAAAAGAAATACGTCCAGTGGAACTGTTATCCCTACCGTGGCCATCATGAAAAGTCAGTCTCACCAATAATGATGATCCAATTACCCTTCTTGTTCAATGTTTTTTAATTCCTGTCTGCATTACTAGATTTGGTTGGTGCTCTTTGGTAAATTGTTATATGTCCGAACTTCCTACCTATTTTGTCAATACTACGTCCTTAATTCGTAATTATGCAAACTGACGAGCTTTCCAGTATTTATAATCTTATTATGTCTTTTCTACTTGATCTTCCTGATTTTTACGCTTGGTAATTTTATTTGCTTAACCTTTGACCGGAAATAATTCTGGAACTTTCTCACACATTTAATATAAATACACAAATGTACAGCCCAGTTGACGAAAAGAAAATTATTTAATGATGCACACACCAATATTGAGTTTACTACGGAACATGAAAGTGACGGAAAGTTCCACCACTTCCTCGACATTGCCATGCAATGCCTAGAAGACGGTAGTCTCCAGAAGTCAATTTATCGAAAGCCTACTTGGAAAGGAAAATACTTACATTTTAATAGCTTTTGTCCAAATAGCTTTAAATGCAGACTAGTCAAGACTCTGTACTATAATAGAGCAAGGAGAATATGCTCTATAGAGAAATTAGAGGAAGAATTTGAGTTTCTTGAAAAGATATTGAAGAGCAATGGGTACCCTCAAAGGTTCATCAGCAAGTATGGAAGATTTGAAGTCACAAATGTAAAACAAATCACAGTGGGTAAAAAGCCAATCTGCATTCAGCTTGATTATAAAGGTGAAAATATTGCAGCGATGATCAACAGAAGGTTGAGTACATCACTAGTCAGAGGCTATCCTGCAGCTAAGGTCGTTCTTTGGTGCGATCAAAAACCGATAGATATCCTTCTCCTATTAACTCCAACTGTGTATATACAAATTTACATGTATCTGCGGGAGTAGTTACATTTGAAGGACAGAAAGAAGGGTATATCAACGATTTTCTGAACATGAACCAAAAAGCTTATGTCTAAAGGGAACAAATGCTTTAAACAGTGCCATCGCCAAGCATCTCCTTCACACGGATCAGTCATGAGGTGGACGTCAAGAAGTCGTTCAATATTATTAATAGGCAAAAGAGTTCAATTCTCCTTAAGTTTGCTGAAGTCATTTTTATCAAGTGCCTGAAACCTGATTTGTGCATTCAGAAAGAAACAGTTATCAGTCACTTTTGCTCTGGTAACTGGATATTTTCATCTCTCTTTCATCTGAATTATTATTGTTTGGAATAATGTTTAATACTACTATAATTAGTGTATACATATATTGATCGATAGGTTTTTGTTTATAATGAACTCTGTGCAAGTATGTTAAAAATTGTTTCTGTAGATATATTTAATAATGTCTTTGGCCTGTAAGCAGCTGATGAGATGGCAATGAAATAAAAGATGATACCACTTTATTCTGCAAAAACTGTAGTTCTTGCTTTGTTGAAAAGTTTTCATTGGTGGGATTGTAGGATTATTGAGAACATTATTTAATATCATTTCTAGGTTTTGTGAAATTAGTTTCCTTTCGATTAACTTGAAGCAACCACTGAGATCGGATATCGCACCACTGGATATTTTAAGGTTCATAGAGCCTGAATTATGAAATACAGAAGTCGTCACTGTGACATAACTGCACCATACTCTAATTAAACAGACAGTTCCTTAGATGTGAACAGGAATGAAACATAACAATATGAAGACTGTGTGCAAATTATGTGTATAAAGGAACTGAGATGAATTAATTATGATAAAACTGGAGCTATTATATTTTGGAAATAGAGGAACTTTCTGGAATTTCGAGGTTAAATCAGACGAAAGTTGAGCATCATTCAAACAAAATGAGACATCAGTCACAACAACTGTATTGATTAGATTTGGAGTGAAGATATAAGGACACAAATTTCGAGCGACTTCAAAAATTGCAGAGAAATTTCGTTGCATTGAAGGCGAAGGAATCAGTGCTCACCAGTCTAGCAATAAGTTAGTAGACGTCGCTTTCAGAAGACTATATAATTCACACTTCAGCAATTCGGATGTCAGCGGTATGATGATCAATTCTAAGTAGTCGTGAAGTGTTGAAACTACTCAGCCCATTCGATTTTCTGAAATATTGATTCGGTCTCGTATATCAGCCAAGTGTCGAGTTATGCCTGTTCAGATTAGTAGACTCTGATCACGCTCTGGTTCGGGCACGTTTATGCTTACGACTAAATGGACATAAGAAATTGACGGCAGCGAAACAGTTACGTCCCCAACTAGATCGAGACACTGAGTCCTTATTTAAGGAAGTAATAGCGAAACGAGTTTCTGAGGTCGACAGCAGGACTTCCATTGAGGTAGCCTAGCACGACATACAGTTAGCTGTAGACACAGCTGTGAAAGCTGTTAATAAGCTAAAACCATAAGTTAGTAAGAGCCATTGGATCTCTACCGCCTTATCCGAACTAACTGACGCTAGAAGACTGATTCCAGCGATCTCCGATTATGTTGAGGAGTGAAACCTACTCAAACGAAAACTAACAAAAAGTCTTCGCAAGGACCGTGAACAGTGGTGGGCGACAAAAGCGAAAGAGATGAAAAAGGTATCAGTGATTGGCGACATCAGACAACTATTTAGGCTTATCAGGGAAACAGGTGGCAAAAGGCGAATGATAAGTGAAACCATCTCTGAGATAAATGGTACCATAATTAGCTCCCAAGATAGACGACTGGAAACAGCACTATGAGGAGCAGTTTAATTGGCCTAAAGCCACGCTCAACCTGCCGAACATCCAACATCTCCCTGAATTGGATATAGACACAGGTCCTCCATCCCTAACTGAGGTTACTAAAGCTGTCACCAATCTGAAACAAGGCAAAGCAGAGGGACCTAGTGGAATCACTCCAGAGGTATTTAAGTACGGTGGAGACAGTTTACTGTCTGAATTAACTGAGGTTCTAGTCAGCGTCTGGGAATCAGAAGAAGTCCCATCGGGTTGATGTAAGTCACTGATTATCCCCATATACAAGAAGGGAGACAAGTCTTCCTGTGATAATCACAGAGGGATTAGCTTGACTAATATAGTATCTAAAGTCCTAGGCTCAATAATCATGCGTAGACTAAGTGGTGCTCGGGAGGCACAAACACGAGAGAGCCAGGCAGGCTTTAGACCAGGAAGAGGGTGTATCGATCATATACTCACCCTCCGACAGATTCTAGAACATAGAATTCCTACCGGCGTCCAACAATCATTATATTTCTTGACCTAAAGGCGGCATAAGATTCTGTCGACCGAGAGGTACTCTGGCGATGCTTGGCTGTAAAGGGAATTCCGAGAAAATACATTTCACTGACTAAGGCACTCTACTCGTACTCAAACAGCCAGGTGAGGGCTAACGGCGAGTTGTCATCTGAACTGGTGACGACTAGTGGTGTCCGTCAGGGATGCCCATTATCCCCATTCCTATTCAACTTCATCATAGATGTACTGATGGACTTAACTCTACCTCACTTCAGCGACTCAGGGATTGACTTGCTACCGGGAATAATCTCGTTGACTTGGAATATGCAGACGATATAGTCCTTCTAGGGGAGGACGCCGAAGAAATACAGATTCTTCTGAACACCTTGAGCTCCAATCTGCGAATGTTTGGCATGCGATTCGCTCCTGCCACATGTAAGATGATGTTAGAGGACTGGACTACTCTGACTCCTAGTTTAGAAATAGGAAGTGAAGTGGTAGAGCACGTTGACCGCTTCACTTATTTGGGAAGTACCATCAGCCAGCACCAACGGGTTGATCTCTGACGAAATCTCAGCACGAAGACAGGGGGCTAGTTTCGCATTTGCCAGTTTACGTTGTCTCTGGCGTAGACGTGATATCCGACTATCGACCAAAGGGCGGATGTACTGCTCATCAGTCCACTCCGTCCTCCTTTATGGTTGTGAGACCTGGCCACTGAGAGTGGAAGACATGAAAAGACTAGCTGTCTTTGATCATAGGTGCCTGCGTTCTATCTCCCGTGTGAAATGGTATAATAAGGTGACCAATATTGAGGTTAGGCGTCGAGTGCTAGGTAACGAGGGGCAATCAATAGACGAGGCTGTGAAGTTACACAGATTGAGATGGTTATGACATGTGTTACGTATGCCTGGTCATCGCCTTCCTCGACGGGCAATGTTAGCTGACATAGGGTCAGGCTGGAAAAGAGCTGGCGACGGTCAAACCAAAACATGGCACCAGTCAATGAAATCTACAACAGTTGATTTAAGCCACGTAGGAAGGTGTAAACTTCCTGAGTGGTTGGGGTCCTCAGGACGGTAAAATCCAATGGTTGGAAACAATTGGTGATATGGCTGAAAATCGTTCTCAATGGCTGGCGCAGATGCATCCACTCCATGTGACTTATGATTTCCAATGAAAGTTATTACTATTCCTTTGTCTCACACCTCTGTTTACTGTCTCAATTATGCATTTCTTCTAATTTCTTCTCTTTCTTTGTGTGCTACAAGGAAGTGTGGCGACTTGAACAGCCGCACATCTGTGCAAAGTTCTATGTCGAAAACAGACAGACAGACAGACAGAGATTATTAGAAGTAGTAAAACACTGACACGTAAATAGTTTGACGTGAGTTCGACAATCCTTGTAGACAACCGTCTCACCTCTGCTCCTTTGTGATTAGTTCCACACATAGATCTCATCGTGCAAAACCTATTCTCATTGCGTTAAGCAAATACTAGTTAGTTCCTCGAATGAAATTATCAGTTTTCGAATATCTCTATTGATGCTTTTCTATTGAATAAAGTTAGCGTACGAGTGTGAAGACAAATATTCACTTCGATGTGATGATAATTTGTGATTCAACTGAATTTCTCATAATTAATTTTAGAAATAATTCGCTTTCGCATCTTTGAGCTTGATTCTTTGATTCAGTTATAACAAAGCAGCCAGTAGCATTCAAATTTATATGCTTAATTGATTCAAATGGTTATAAGGACATGATGTAATCATTTGGTAGCTACAGGTTGAATAAACGTATTTTTAGAGTTCAATTTGGATTACCTAATCTATCGAATATGCTGCTGACAACATGAAACATGTACACCCTTGTATTGCACAGTTAATTGACATTACCGTACTTTTCCATTCACACTCTTGGGTGACAGTTAATTTTCCTTGTTGGGACATACACGTATCATCGTGAATATCGAGGTCTTCCGATTTTCCTCTTCGGGTCAGGGAAAATTAACTTTTAAGCTATACCAGTCGTTCCGTCATCGTTCACACCATAACAAACAGGCACTAACTAAATAGCTGCTTAGAGATAATTCATTACAAAGCTAAATGGAATCGAATGAGAATTGAAACTCTGTCAAAATGCATAACTACTCCTCGATAACTTCATGCTATTTTTCTACACACCCCTCGACTACAACACAATTCAGAAATGAAGATGAGAGAGAGATTTCAGTGATAGTCACCTCAAATTCTTAGTGATCCATACACGATTTATATTTGTTGATACTTCTAGCCTGTCAATTGTGAGTGAGAACATAAAACATTTGGTTCATCGAGGGAGAGGGCTCTCGAGTGGTTGCGCCACAGGATGATCCTGCATGCCGGTCTCGTCTTGCAAGAGGCAGGGATGGGTGTGTTTGGTTCTCCTGGAAACCAATACCCAGTCAATGGGTGTATCACAGTGTGAAGTGCGTCGGTGTCATAGTGGTTAGGACGCTCGCAGACCATGCACATGGTCAGGGGTTCGATCCCCGGCCACAGACGCACTCCTTTACCTCACGAAGTCAGAAATAATGCTGGTAAAGAGGAAACGTTGAGTATCTGGCTAGCACCTCATCCTGTAGAATAAACACTACTACACAAAATTCAAGCCACTAGCTTGAAGCCCTATGTTCCTCTGGGGAACGTGAAGGAAAAAAAGAGAAAAAGAAAGACATGAAACATTTGACCAAAACGACAGGCAGAGATATCCCCTGCCTGTTTATTTGTATATTCCAATAGAAATTATGACAATAGAAAATGAGCAGTTCAAAAATTAATCAGTTTAATGTTCAATTGACAGTCAATAAATGTGTTTAGACAGATTTAGTTGTGTTTCAAAATAAGCTGGACTTCTTTCATTTTTGTGCATATTTCTTCTACAATTGAGTATATTTCATTTCATTTCATACACACTAACAAGCATCTTTGTAGGGACGATAATTCAACTGATTCAACTCTCCAGTGAAACTCTGCTGTGTTAGTAGAGTGTCCAGTTGATTATTCTCTTGTTTAAATTGTCCTTTTACCATTCTACATCCTGCTGTCACTGCGGTTGCTGCTGTCGTTTGATCCCTGGTGGATCCAACGCTTCTGTGACGTATACCGCCCAGTATCACGATTAGAATGATCACAAAGAGATTAGCGATCATATGATAGGCGAATAAGTTGGCGGCTGATGCTCTGCTTTCTGGTGCACTCTCATCCCATGTTGTTCGCATCCATTCTGATGTTGGGTAGAGTATGACAGCAATCTATAATAGTAACAAGAAAGGACAACAATATTTATGAATAATGCGATATCTTCACTATACCCAGGTTTTTTGTAAACGTGATTAACCTACTGTAAGTCAGAGTAGATGAAAAGCTCAACAAGGTGGCGAAATAACACGAGCACGAGATATGCGTGAAATCGATTAGGATATTGAAGCAGAGTATCAGTAAGGGAAACTCAAATTGTAAGGGAATGCGTAGAGATGCATTTAGTATTTAGTAACTTCTTCAAACAGATGAAATTTAACTTGGTTATTATGGGAAAGATTTGTAGCTCTGATGAATGATTTTGATGTCGTTGTGTTCTCTGAGCTGGTGAATGGTTTATTTGCGAAGCTTTCATTGCCTTACTTCTTACAAGGCAACATCTTCAGCGCATGCTTCAATTTGAAGCATAAACCTATGCCTCACAACCTACTTCCAGTTGAACGGCCAAGTGTATGAACAAGTTTAAAGAACACCCATGGAATTATCAATATCAGGTTTGATTGCAGAATCAGTCATGCAAAGGATCAAAAACATAACTATACCAAAGATCAAATCCACAATTTGGATAGGTTACGTAGATGACACATTTGTAATAATCACAAGAAACGAGTTGGATAAAACTCACAACTTATTAAACGATGTCTCCAACGACATCAAATTCACAAGAGAAGAGGAATCCGGGAATAAAGTCCCATTTTTGGACATCTAAGTCAAGCGAACAACCACAGGAGAATTAGAAACTCGAATGTATAGAAAATCAACTCACACGGACCAAATACTCAATTACAACAGCAACAATCCAGTAACACACAAAAGGAATTGTATACAAACACTAATGAACAGGGCCAAACAGGACTCATTGCAGCACTCCCACTTTGAGGAAAATTGTTGAAAAATATCTCATGGATGTCTTCCAAAAGAATGGATATCCACGAAATTTCATCAACAGACATATACTCGCAATCCAGCCTACCAAATCAAAGGGCTCAAAGGAAAACACAAAGAAAAGTGCCCTACCACATATAAAAGATATCTCAGAAATCACTGCAAGACTCTTCAAACTTTCAAAATTGACATCGCACACAGACCAACAAAATCACTTCACTCAGCTGGCTCTATGTCAACCGAAAGACTGAACACCGAAAGAAGATAAAACCAACATTATCTACGAAATAAATTGTAACCAGTACGAAAAACGCTACATTGACCAAAGTGGACGTCCCCTATGTCTTCGTGTCCATCAACATAAGCCAGCCGTCAAAAGGCATGACATCCACTCCCTCGCTCATATCACTACATACAGACAACCACGGACATCAATTCGACTGGGACAACCCGCTTTCAAATATTAGACAGAGGAAAAAGCAAGAATGCTGGAAAATTTTAGAAGGCTTCCTGGTATTCCAATGAATCGTCAATCAGTAGACAAATCGAGATACACGAAATTTACCAACAGATAGAAAGGAAACCTCAAACACAAAGGGTCAACGTTCAAGTCAAGGAAACAATCAATTCCAAGTATCCTACAAGTGTAGCATAGAAAGTGTGGTATCACACAGGATAAACCAAAGAGTCACGTTCAAGATCAGCCACTAGGAGAGATGACCAATAAATTCTCGGAGAAATCTAAAAGCTCACTTCAGTAAACTGATATATGCGCTGAAGATGTTCCCTAGTGTCAGTAGGGCGATGGAAGCTTCGCAAATTAACTATCCAGTTAGCTCAGAGAACACAATTAAATTTTAAAAATTTGAGTTTGTCCAACAATCTGAGATTTCCCAAGGTTTACACGTCTCTTCTGCCTTCGATGTAGAATTGATGAGGAGAGAAAGAATGTGTAGTGCCGTCATTTCGATAACCAAATTACTCGAACTAATGTTAACCAATGCCTTAAGCCTAATAGTCCAACTTCTCACCGTTGATTCATTTGTGAGTGAAAGTGAGGAGATACCTGCTTAGGTATTTGTTACTTTTTTCTGTTAAACATGAAAATTTATTTTCACAGTGCACAACTCATATACGAGATACAATTCCTGTTTTGTCTAATTGCTAACTGTGTTAACAATCACGAACAACACCTATCCAACACTACCTTCACCGAGAATTCAAATATATGATTGAATCTACAACAAACTAGATAGGATACTAGTGTTTGAAGCGATCGATACTAGGTTAGGGCCTCAGTTAGAACATCATCACTCACTGAACAATACACACACACCTAACTAACGAGTCCCGAATACGACGAAACGCTCGTTATCCTGGTTTCCACCGCTAGTCACACCGTCCACCAAATTACTTCGGATTAATTCCTCAGATATCGTTGATAAATCCACACAAAGAGCCGACATGTCATTAGAAGCCGAATGTTTCGGTCCAGTAAATAGACGGGAAAATCAATACTGATTTTAGAATAGATAGATCAGATCTGTGGAGTCTGGAACAAGCTGATTGTACAGTTTTTGCTAGATGTTAATGGAAACATTGTAGACACAACAACAAAACCAACAAAACAACTTTAAAGTCCAGTTTTAAATACGCAGTGTGCTACTCGACGATTCGTCTTCTCACTGGTCCATACTGTCTACTTGATTCATTTCTAAGCATGTTGTGCCCTTTGTATTTTCAGAGACCTGTCATCCCCATCCGAAGACTATTCTACAACCGGTTCACAGCTTCTACTGACATAGACACTATCCAAGCAGTGAATTCTTCTGTGGATTCTATTAATAATTTGTAACAGCAAACTTTAACTGGACAACCAACTCACCATTAATTTATATGAAACATCAACTTTATATTTTACAATATACTGTTACACTATTCAAATATTTGTCCCGTTACCGAGCTCACAATTAGTTCCCCTACAGATGTTGTTTGTCAGCTTACAATTAAGCATCAACTTCTACAGACGTATTTCTCATGAACAAACTGATTTGGTAAGCAAGTAAGTAAGTACGCCATGGAAATATAGAGAGTGAAAAGGACGGGTAAATAAATATCCTTTGTACATAATTTTTCCTATGGGTAAGATAAATATTTCGATACATAAGAATCTTTGTTATTTAAAAAATTTGTCATCTACAATTCGACTGATTGATTCATCATCACTGTGAAATACCAGTCTGATCGAAATAGGAGGGTGTTAATGCTTAATGTCGGTCGCTTTTTGGTGTCCATCACTGTTCTACAGATGGTCAGTCGAGAACCCGAATACTTTAAGTTGTGTAATGTCAGTGTAATGACAGCAACACTTGACACATGACACATTCATGAATCTCCTAGGGTGACTGGCTTGTGTTCGAAATGCAGAAGTTACTTTGTCATGAAACTTTGTACATGAAACTCTTACAGAATTCATTGACGTAAAACGAAAGATTCACTTGAATTTGTTGACTAATCCATCTGAACGCATGTTGTATTAATTCATGAATTACTACAGTTGATGATAACAATGGATTTACTATTGAATTTGCTGTAAATCAGGTCGCCAGATATCATTTCTCTGGCCAGCCAAGCTTCATCTTGTCAGTGTATGTGATAGACCAGAAAATGCATAGTCGAATCCACAGGGAAGTTCATTTCACCTGTATATTACTAAGTAATTCGATCTGTTGTCATGATTGAGGCATATGAATCTGAACACGCCCTACTTTGTGAGGAGATAATGGAATCTAAGAATTTCAGGAGTTTATCGAAATATTTCGGGAACTAGTTATGAGAGGAACAGTGCAATTACCAGTTATCATATCAAGATGTTTGATTTTCCATAGCTGTAGCTGAATTCAGTTGAGAAAAAGCCTGAATGGGAGGTAGCTATTCAGTGCTACTTACTGACGAATAGGTATTTCTATTGTTCTCATTGATTTATGCCATACTGTCTGAATAATACATCGAGAACAGATGTAAAGATGAAACTTGCACAATGTGGTGGTGTATAATTCACCATTATGGATAAAATTTTATTTCAATAAAGAAAGTCACACAGTGCAGTGTTATACAGTCAGTCATTTTAATTGATGACCACGATTCGAGAACAGTTTAGCATTCCAACACATAATCATAACAAGTCACTCACTCACTCACACAACTTCTTGCTTCATTAATATACATGAGAATAGTTGATGACTGAATGAAATCGATGTATGACTTGAGTGAAACAGAATAGAAGATGAAGTACATTCGGAAGGAATGAACACATCAGGAAGATGGAAAACGGTCAAAAGCAAAATAAAATTAATTGTGAAACTAATAATCATAACATAAATAAACGAGTATATTAGGCATCTGCAGTAGTTTTATCATATTAGGAGAAGATATCTGAGACACTCCCTACGTAGGATTCTCAATTAAGCGGGAATTCGGGTGGCATTCAAACTCACAAACTCACTCAGATAGAACAAGCTATGTAAGCTAAAGGATCCCGTGGATCCATTTAAGCAAAATAATATAATTTACAAAGTACCCTGCAACGTCAACAACATAGGTGAAACTAGTAGATCAGGAGTAGTGAGATCATCAGAACATAAGAATTCAGTGGCTGAGGTTAGAATGATTGATCCACGAAGACAGATGAGTAATTTAGGAGAAACCTCAGCAATTGTGCTCATATTATTACTGCTCAATGTACATTATCCTACATTGATTTTATTCAAATATCTAATTAACTTTTTACTCATGTATATAAACGACGAAGCAAGAAAGTTGTGTGAGTAGTGCCTGATATGATTGTGACTAGCTAGCAATACATTGTGCTCGGAACGGGCTGAAATCAGTAAATATTACCGTGTAATATCAAAATAAAATCTGATCCATAACAGTGAGAACAGCGTTATGAAGAGGTGGTGTGCTTGTGATAAGAAACATGCGAAACGGTGGGAAAGTAGGGAGAGATAGTTGTCCACAGGAATTGTGAACTCGTGTCAATCAGTGAGTAGTGAGTGAGTGATTCAGCAGTTAAGCTCTCGTTGAACACCGTCATAGCACGGTTGTTCCTGTCTGATAGAGGACAGCAGATCAACACTCCAAAATGCTCTGATGTAGTGAACGAGGTATCAGTGAGTAGTTCACGACTACATTGAATTGATCAACTGGTTGACATCTGAACGGTGGAGCCTAAATTCTGTGCTCAAAACCGACTATCACTGCCTGATTTGAATAGATTTTTAAGCGCTGAATTCATCGATTCATGCTACAAAATTTTACTTTTATTTTATTGACGCTAATAGATGTTTGCATTTATCTTCATCCTCACCAATTTAAAAAAAATGTTTTTCTAAATTACTAGCTTTATTATCACTGACCTCTCATTAGTGTTTTCTGATATCATCCCACACGACTGAGCAGCCAAGTCACCTTTTGTCCGACTTCGCTTTGAAATTCCAAAACTTTTTGTTCATTAAAACTACAAATAATGACTGTATTCTAATCACGACTAGTTCCTCTGAATTCCTTACAATTTTGTCAGTTATAATCTCACTACACTAATCAATGATTATTTGTTCTGTAACTTCACTGGAGTGTTTACTAGCTTGTGAAAATACCAGGTGAAATGTTTCCTTGAACGGTGTAAGAAAATCGCTAATCAAAGGGTGCTAACAATGTATGAGACGATTGGTGTGAATCCCAGGAAATCAGACACCATAGCCACCACTTTGTCATTTCTTCAGTTACTAAATTTAAATATCACTCTCTCTTTCGTGATGTATTCGAATACTCTGCGTTCAGATAAGTCGTTGGTGAAGTCACTATGCCTAAGATTGTCGAGAGCAACAGAACGGAGTTATGCTGCCTCCATCCATTGTTTGTTATTTTCCAGGCGACTGATGATGATTTCTAAGGTTAAAGACAAGCCGGCTAGTTGTGCCACTTCTATGTGTATCTACAAATTAGCTACTCCTGAGGAGAAATATATAAATGTATATGGGTTGGACAGCTAGACAGCTCAACAAACGTATTATTGAGCATCTTCGTTCATGGTTCGGAAAAGACAAAACAAAATCTTTAAGAAGTTCTATTTTGATTCATTTGATTGATGATAACGGTCACCAAGTGGACACGTGGTGACAGCTGTCTACAAGCCAGAATTTCAAACAACAATTTACGTCGCGAATAGGGGTCGTGGATAAGAACTAGAACAAAGCCTAACCTTGAGGAACTCAACAACCGATCACACCAGACGAAGCGTGTGCAAATACGATTCGCACACACATGGATAACTTTGTAACTTGCAATGGTCACAAGCAGTACAGAATAACATTCAGGAGAAGTCAACCAAACAGAATACGTTGCTTCTCTTCCAAGAATAAAGCTGAAAATAATCTACATGAAAGTCTACAAATATCTGTTGATTTTGTCATTAAACGATCTGTTGACTCGTCCTTGTCTTCACTTGTTACAGACAGAAGTAATGCCTTCAAAGATATCTATCGCATTCCATTCAGCCTTTCGAACGGAATTCAAACCTGCCTTTTACACATAACCGAAGCTACGGGAATTAATTCGAGAGAACAATCCTAGTCATTGCATACAAATGAAACTCGTTCTACACTGGTCTCTGCCTTGCTTCGCCTAGGTAAAGAAAGTCTAACAAAAACCCTCACACCCCTTTATTATTTTCCATTTCCTTCGTACTTTTATGATAGTTATTTCAACTCTGATTATCTATCCACTTCACCTGCCTTTAGTATTACATATCTTTTAAGATTTCACCTAATTTATTGATTTACTGAATTGCCTTCATATACACACATATACTACTACCTTCGTGAAACGTCTCATCGCCACCTGCTTAAAACTTATTATCACTGCTATTTTTGTTATCGTTATATTCATCGTTATTAACCACGTTCAAAACATTTACCATGTTATCATCATTATTTGATCCACAGACTCAACATCATCGTTTAGAATATAGAGTAAAGCCTGAAGAAGATCTAACTGAAAAGAACAATATTCTTCGCTTATCTGTCTTGTTCTAAGTATGAGGAAACACTCGGCGATGGTTGATTAAACCGCATGAGTACTTGCATAAATCACACCAGTATCTCATTCAACCTCGATAACGTGATGATGATGTAGGTATAAAATGTAGAAAAATGTATATGACCGCGTCATTCACTGACTTGGTTATACGACATTCTGGTTAGTGGCGAGTGAATGCATAAAGGCGTATTCATACAGCACATACCATGACATTGATTCTCACATAACTGGCTATTATTATCATCACTTTGATCAATAATTTAATTATCAACAGAGTAGAGAATTTTTGGTTGGTTTTACTTCGTCTAAGTGAGACATAAAGAGAATTCTCGCTACACAGGTCAATATTCACAGCTAATTTTCATTCTGTGATCAATAATCTCTTGATGTTACTCTTTTCAGCTTTGTATACTCAGAAATGAAAATGATAGTAACTGGTGTGAATTTCATCATGAGCTGACATCGATTAGAGAAGCATTGGAGTACTGCACAGCCGTCCCCTCAGTCCTAGTTTGAGACTCTTCATCAGTCAGTATGCAACCAACGACAGAGTTCCAACACAGAACCTTCTAGTCACAAGGAAAGCTGGCTCATGGGCCATTAAGCCGTTGGGACCAGCCAATCCCATAGCCAACCCATCAATTCTAACTTCTGTCAATTCACGAAGAAGCCCAACCACTTCACAATGTCTCCTTCCATGAGGAAGTGTCCTCACCTTCAGCTTGCTGGACCCTACTGGCCACGGCTTCCCACGCATTGGCTTCTCTGACTGACGTCAGCTCATGATGAAGCCTGTAACAAATGAAACAAAATCCCTACATACGGATGATGGAAATTTACTGTCTAGTCTCTCCCTCTCTCTTTTGCACGAAATGATTAGACTGACAGTTCCCTTCTCAATCAGAGATACTGACTGTATGCATCGAAGAAATAAAGGTGAAGTTGGTAACACTAATGCTCTTGATAAAATCCCCACTTTGTTATACATCAAAACAATTTCAAAACGTACCAATAACACTTAATCGCTCACCTGACAAAACCATGTTCCTTGCATCAGATATGTCCAACAGCGCATTAAACCATAAATAGGCTGATGAGGAGACATCACTTCACAGAGTAACAGTACAACACCTAAACCAATCATTCCAACTAGAAGTAGGTGAAGATAAGCATCGAATGAACTCCTTCCATGTAAATGAAATGTGAATAAGACGAATTCTCCCACCAGTGCTATTAAAGTGAAGAGGTATTCTGATTGACTAAAGGGAAGGAAAAGGGTGGAACAGGAATGATTATTATCAGTAGTAATAATTGTCTGGACAAATATTTCTCTCTTCAAATTGTGTATTTGAAATCCATCTGACGTACACCTGCGTTCACAATGAGAAATTGTGAATCATTTATTCTGGTGATGATGAGGTTTGATTGGAGATGGGATGAGATACAAAGGACATAAATGAAGCTAAATTAAGCTTTGAGGTTTGATCGCGGATTGATATCAGTTAGAGAACTATAGAATGTAGCTGTTTCGTCGTAGTTCAGGATTCATCGGGAGCACACACACACACACACGCTTACAGGGGTTCGAACCAACGACTTCCAGGTTTCACGGCTAACTCGTTGATCATTCAGCCACTGGGACCCGACTCAATGCTTCATGAATTCTAACTTCTACCGATTTGTGTTTATAGTTTGATCACTAGTCAATGCCGTCGGTCAGTATTTGTCTTTACTCTAGATTGTGTGGACACCGTGGTCATAAATTTTCACTCAAACCCCAGGGAATTTCGTTCTGTAGGCAATGAGTCGCGAGCATTAAGACATAGCCAAATGTCACCTGCGGGATTTCGAGGATTCATGGAGAGTAGGATACTTCAGGTTGGGGTTAGATCCCTAAGAGAAGGACACGCTCTTTCACCTCACTTAGCCAGTAATAAGACTGGTAAAGTGGTAAGGTTGACTATCTAGTTAGCACCTCCACTCACAAATACCCAACTTGAAGCCGCCCTATGAACCACCAGTGAGGACGTAGAGGAATAAAAAATAACAGAAAATAATAATTTCACCAACAATGAGAATATGTATTCACTTACACCGGAATTTTCAACACCCCATAATGTATGCATACTTCTGCTACACCACTTATTGCAAACAAAGAGATCATACTGACATGTTGTGTAGTTTGAGCATTCATATTTGCCCAGTCTTTGTCAAAGAGTAAATCAACTTCTTCACACAATAAAATGATGCCAGCTGAAATTTTTAAAGCCGAATCAACTGGTATAATTTGTGTACAACACTTCTGATTATGTGAAGTTTTTCTCACAATTGGAAAAGATATTCTATTGACATATAAGGGAACTGGTTCACCATTCGACTTGTTCAATAATTCAAAACGTTTTCGTCGATAAAAGTTATCCATCATATGCCAAACAGTCCATAAACCAAAAAACATGGAAGCACTTCCAGGGAATACATGTCCAGCAAATTGACCCATTTTCGCGAAAGCGTTTCAAGTAATGTGAATGTGAATGTATAGACGAAATAAGTGTACACTGGTTAGGTGACTGTTTGCAGTTGACGTTTCTTCTTCAGTTAGTTATCTGCAGTCAGATGGCCTTATGCAAAATTGAAAGTTAAATCCTACTGGCTAGTGTAACCTAAACCAATCCACGCACACTGACACACACCCACACACACAGAGTTGTAGCTGTGTTGTGTTGTGTTGTGTCGTGTTGTGTTCTTTACTAGTAAAGTCTGCATCTGATTTGATCAGTAAAAGGCGCTGAGATCTCTAGACTGAAATGAGCTTAAGAGTGAAGAGATTAACACAGAATTGTGAAAATTATTATTATGTTTTTCAACAGAATGGACAGTGAACAAAGAATACTCTTTTCGATAACCCCTTCTTCATCAGGCTCTACAGTCATTTATATATACATTATAGTAGTGAAAGAATGAATGAATTAGTGTTATGAAGAACAATAATGCTGTGCAAATAACATCGAATCACTAATATGAATAGATTACAACTCAACAGCATCAACATAAAATAAGCTGAATGTCAAAAAACTCAGGAAAGATAATATTACAAATTGATGAAATTCTAGTCTCTACTGAAGATCGGCCAGGACAGTAGTAGAGGCTGGCTGGATTTGCTACTTCTGCACACAGAGCACTGGTTGTTTGAAGCAAATTGCAATAGCCCCTGATGTTTGCAGCATGCGGTGCTTCGATGATTTTAGGAATTTACTGGGCATCTGGTAGATGACAAAGAAGGATTATTCAGCGCTCGCTGGCCTTGTGGACACTTTGCACCAGATGGTCCAATATCGAACTGTTAATGGTTTTCTCTACACCTTTACTTAGCCATAGTGGGAGGTGTTGTCGAGTGAGCACGAAAATTCAAGTTTCCAGAGCAACGGCCAATATAACTCGCTCCACAACAAGCTCAGTTGAATTGGTAGACGCAATGAGAAGTGGCTAGTTTGTCTAGGTACTTCATTTTTCAGTCAAGGTAGCACCATTAGTCGTGGGAGAATAAGACGTGTAGTTCGCCAGCATTAAAAATTTCTTTGAACTAATTTTCTTGATTTCTTCGTAAATCGTTAAATCCAACACAGCCTTGGTTCAGATGGTGTACCAAGCATTCTTCTTCAAAAGTGTGCAGACATCTTGTGTCAACCTCTTACTCAAATCTTTAACGCTTCATTTAACAGGGAAATGGTACCTGTTGACTGGAAAGAGATCAAGGTTGTACCTGTACAGAAATCGTCTTCTGGAGCAGGTATAAAGTTTAGACCAGTCGCTATAACATCTCCTCTTTTGAAAACTATGAAGAACTTTCTTTTGAATATTCCTAAACCTTCTTTAAAAGCTTTCAGTTTACAGTTTACAGTTTACAGTTTACAATTTATTTAGGATAGTAGGCTATATGCCTGTGTTAATCCTTTCGATTTATTTCATACAGGAGGTCCAATCTCGCCTTGAATGAATCAACGGATGGCGCTGATACGACATGTTCCGGTAGGGAGTTCCAATGGTTCACAATTCGATGCGAAAAACGGATTTCCAGACGCAGACGATTCGACCGTGGTTTTTGAACCTTGAGGTGATGTCCTCGCAATTGGTTGGTGCTAGAAGGAAGAAATAATTTAGATAAATTAGCTCCAAAATCATTTCTTAGGATACGGTATGCTAGTATTAGGTCACCCCTAAGTCGTCTGTATGACAGTGGAAATTTCAGTGACCCTAAGCAGTTTGCTTATAAGTGTGGAAGAAGTACATTAGATGCAGCCATTGTACTACACCACAATATTGTTTCCTGCCTTGATAAGGGTGCTAAGTTCGTTCGAACAGCTTTTTTAGACTATACTGCAGCTTTCGACTCTGTTCCTAGGACACTTTTATTAGGAAAGATGATTTCAGCACAAACAGAGTCCTGGGCAACTAGATGGCTGTCTTCTTATTTTGAGGATAGGAAACAGCATACTGTTTTGGCTGGAAAGCGCTCCACTTCTCAGCTAACTGAAAGTGGTGTGCCTCAAGGTGCAGTACTTTCTCCATTTCTTTTCTCTTTCTTTTTGCATGACCTTCCGAACTCACCCAAAGTTAACTTCATTAAGTATGCTGATGATCTGACCATTTCTTTCCCTGTGGTTTTCACATAGGATTGTTCCCATATGAATGGCTTCCTAGCTGAAGTTAAGGATTGGTCTGGCTCAAATGGTCTTAAACTAAATCCAACTAAATGTAACACTGTTGATTTCAGCTTGAGAAGTGAAAAAGACATGCATGGATTGATCCAATCTCATGATTGTTGTAATATTGATGGTACCATGATAGAGAGTAAGTCAAGTGTTTCTTATCTTGGCATTAGTTTCTCTTCAAACCTTTGCTGGTCGTCTCATATTCTTATAGTTTCTAAGAAAGTTTTCCGTCTGACTTATTACATAAAGAAGTTGAGACACTCAGGTATAACCCAATCTCTTATCATACAATTTATTAATTCATGTGTTTTGCCCATCATTCTTTATTGTCCTCCATTATTCTTCATTGGGCCACTCAAGAAAGACCATATAATACTACGAAGAACATTGAAGGCTGTTAGTAGGGTCAGTGCTATCCCTTTGACTCAACTAAATGACACTGTTGTTAATAGGCATATAAATTCTTGTAAACACTTAGCTAAAGTTATCTTATCTGATAGTGAACATCCTCTTTATTCAAAATTGTTTCCTTGTATCTCTTCGGGTAAGACCAGAAGAAATTTCATAAACATTTATGCTCGTACTACAAAATATAAAAATTCGACCGTACCATATTTGGCACGAGTATTGTGTGAAGAGACAAATATCAGAAACGAACTTTTACAACTTTTAAATCATTAACTAAACTATAAAATGTAATGATGCATATTAATGTATGTGTTATTTGTCATATTATATATTTATTATCCACTATGACCTAGCAATGGTGTGATTTTGTTGGGGTTTTATTTTTTCCTATTAACTATCAATATTTTAAAATTTTATACATTTATATAATTATAAACAGAGCTAAACCATTGCAATATGTAAAAGAAGCGCTGAAAATTCCATGCTGTAAATTGTTATTGTTGTGGAATAAAGTGATTATTATTATAATCAGTATATCAACTTTGAATTGCAGTCGTATACGAAGAGGCTTCTTGTTTACAGATAGTGAGTAGTCCTTTTCCGCCGCTCTCTTTGTCATGTGTTTCTTCATAAATTCGTACAGTATCTTCAAGTAAAATACTAATTAATTGACGACAGTACATCCTGTGACACACAATGGTCTCTGAGAAGCTGAAGCACAAACCATTCCACTATGTGATATATCCGCTTTGTCACCTTCAAGAAGTCTACGATATCTATAGGCAAGTGTTTGACAATTGTAAGATGTTCATAGGTACATTTTGAGATTCAAGGACATGAGTGAATAGTAGTTATTTTATGTACTACTGGAAGAAGTTTCCACCCTCAATCTCTGGCCTTTCCTCTAGTTTATTAGAAACTTACGAACCAGGAGCTTGTAGAAATGTTAAATACACACACAAGAGTAGAGAATACCACTAGAGGGTTCATAACTTAATCGATTGAAACAAACCGAAAGAGGGAAAATATATGCAACAGAGAGAGAGAGGGAAGTTCATACAATTGGTTCCCTTGATAAATCTCGATAAAGAAAGGAAGACGAAATTTGCAGTATAAAATTATATCATCCTTCTCTTTCACAGGTTCTCATCAGCTAAATACAAACTACCTGAAATCTCAATAGTTATATAGATGATAATAACACACTTTAATGTTTGAGTGGTAGTAGTAGAGAAGAGATACTATAAAATTGACGAATCCAAAATGAAAGCATTACAATTTGTAGTTTGGGTTTTCATCATCAATTTATACGCTTTCAAAGTAGAGAAGAGGGGGTGAGGGGTAAGACAGAAAAATTAACAGAACAGTGTTAGCTTTTAGGTTCACACAGCAACGCCAAAGCGTTATCCACTAGACGACTTGGGCCACGAGAGCCACCTCTTGTGCAACGGGTCATATTAATTATTGAATTGAATTTTGATTTCCGCGTCGATTGATTTGAGGGAAGTTCTCGGTGTCAGGTTGACTGGTCGGATTATTGTGCAGATGCTTCGACGATGTCTGGGCCTTTAATTAGTATAGAGTTGGTGGATGGTGGCTAGCAATGGAATCGAGGATGCGCATTTCGTCCAATTTGGGACTCGTCAGCCGGATGTACCTGCATTTCTCACTGAGTGATGATGTTCATCTCACCGAGGCTCGAACCCAGTGCGCATAGTTTCAAACGTCAAAGCGTTATCCACTAGACGACTTGGGCCACGAGAGCCACCTCTTGTGCAACGGGTCATATTAATTATTGAATTGAATTTTGATTCTTCCATCAGTGGTACGTTTGTAAACAAGGAGATCATATCATGCGATACCATGAGTTTGTCTGATATGTCAACTGATATTGTCCAATTCCCTGGAAAACTGATAGCTATCCTTCAGGCTATGGGTTGCATATTTAGTTCGAATTAGCTCTATAGAATCAGCTAACCATCGAGCTAGCTTGTGGCATGGTGAGTCAATCATTGAAAAGACTGGTCTTGAAGGCGCATTTGCTTTATGGACTTTTGGTAGGCCGTACATAGACGGAACGCGTCCACCTTTTCATCACTTTCTTTAACAGCGAAACATACCATAAACTGAAGTCAAATATAAGGAAAGAGGACGGTACAATAATACGATCAATGTTTATAGAATATGTAAAACAAATAGTCAGTTTACTCATTTCTTCAGCTTCATGTCTTTGAAATGCAAACGCAATCTAATTAAGTGCTTGGTCCGCCACAGAGCAGGAGCAATCTGCTCTGATGAATGTCTTAATGAAGAACTTAATATTATTAGAATAAGGCATTTAGAAGACAAATTTCGCGAGATGATATGGTCATTTCTTAGTTTCTTTACAACCGCTTTACAACTAGCATGGTTAACAATAATAAAATAAAGCTCATGACAATTACTCAGTTTAATTAAAAAACACAAAAGTACATAC